CGGGGGACACGGCACAGTTTGGGGTGCTCCGTGTGCCGAGTCCCTGTAGGAGACCGAGTGGCCTGATAGCTTTTGCCCACCCCTCCATCCCTCTGAACAAAAGGATTGTTTGCTGAGCGGAACAACAAACATAGAAACATCAAGGCTGGAAAGGAGCTTAAGATCATCAAGTCCAACCAACAGCCCTGCACCAGCCTAACACTGACCCATCTCCTCAAGTGCCACATCCAGCCAGTTTTTAAACACGTCCAGGGATGGTGACTCCACCACCTCCCTTGGCAGCCCATTGCAGTGCTTCATCATCCTTTCGGTGAAAGTTTTTCCTAATATCCAAGAAATAAAGAACCTGGTGAAATCGAGGGAGGGGTGGAGACACTCCTAAACTTTTACGAGGGGTGTCTGGAACACTCACAAGAGATGGACAGTGCATGTCCTGCTTGTGACTGTGTCCTCAAGGACAGGAGAGGAGCAGCACCTCGCCTCAGAAGGTCCCCAGGGCTGGAGGACTGCCCGAGGAGCAGCAGTTGGGGAAAGGAGCTGGGGGAGATCTGCCAGCAGCACCTCAATTCAAAACCAGAACGGCTTCCCCGCCCGGGCCTGTAAGAAGCACTTGTTCTAATTTACACAGTAAATTTAAATAAACTTTCAAAAGGGGCAACCAAATCGAGAGATGAGAATAAAAGGCGATTGCCAACAGCGTCGCTGGGAAATTCTGGGGGGGTGCTCCTAGAAACTGAAGCCCCCAATGGCTGGACCAATGCTGGAACGCAGACTGGTGATCTGTTTCTATTCTCCTTTTCGTCCTTCCCTGGCGAGTCACTGGGTAGAGTGAGGCAAACCACAGTTCGTTGTGAGCCATAATTATATTCCTTCAATGCTGAGAAACTTTTATGAAAAATAAAGCCTTTGTCAACTAAAGGATCTCTGGTGCTGCACGAGCTCCGTTCCGACCAAGGGGATCAGCAAATCTGAGTCACTCCCTCTTCTCCTTCAGGTCGAGCGGGATGGCCTCTCAGAACGAATCAATTAATTAACCCAGACTGAGCACCAGTCAATTAATTAACACCGACAGAGCCTGGCCAAAGGGGCTTTCTGTGCCACACCAGGGCAGAGTGGGTAGACACCAGGCTGGTGAGATGTGGCACGGAGGAACCAGCACCAGCCCCTTCAGGGGCTGAAGGCAGCACCTTCTTGGGGCACAACGAGGGGTTCTCAACAGGACCAGCCTCCAGCGGCTGAACCCAACCAGCCTCATCCTCGCAGATCCCGGCGGATCTTCTCTGCCCTTTGCAAAAGCTTTCGCTTCTCAGTCTGCAACAACAGGATGGTGGTTGGGCTCATTTCTTCTGCCAACATTTCTTCTGCTAATGCTGCAGAGCCTGCCCGGAGGGAGACGGGAGAGGAGAGAAAGGCTGGAGGGACCTAAAGGGACTTGACCCAGAGGCAGGAGCTGGTCCTGCAGCGTCAGAGCCGCCCTGCAAGGGGGCGCTTTGAGCTGGGCTTCTGCAGCGGCTGGGGGGGGGCCTC